CCGCGAGTTACTTTTGGGAAAACGCTAAATTTTACTCACGACTTCATTTACGTAGAAATTGAAAATATTTTTTAATGATAGAATGTTAAGGAGCTATTTAAGTTACCAAAATCACGTTTTTTAACCGACTTCAAAAGAGGATATTATCAATTCGACCACCATTTTTTATATATGTACGTTCACCGATTTCTCGAGAATGCTTCAACTGATTCTTATAATTCTTTTTTTTCGAAAGCGTATACTTCCAGAAAAGTCTTGTAAGCAACAGGATTTCCTGATCCTTCTCATGATGTGATCCAGGAGAAATCGAGAAAAATGTTTTCAAAGCCTATCTTGAAATGATTTGGATGTTTCTTGTTATTCTTCTTATACTATGCCGCCGTGCACCGGCCGGCCAGCGCCTTGTACATCATTATTTAATACGTACTTGATAATTATTTTGCTGCATTGTTACTTTAAAATTGCCATATCTTCTAAGATACTCATTGAAATCAAATGGTGTAACGGGCGACTTTTTTAATTTAAATACTTGTAACGAATATCGTATTCATTTGGATAGGGATTAATATCTTTATAAAAACACCTACACAAATAATGATTTATTTTAGAACTAATTTGGTTAGCATATAAAAGGTAATAGTGAGCCCACCTTAAAATATAGAGATATGCTGCCGCGGACTTTTTTAAGAACTTTTAAAGGAAAACAGTTCTGTCATACATTATTTTAACTAAACTCTTAACCGTTTTCGCAGCGCACGCAGCTCTCAAAAGAGCAAAAAACCCCGATTTTTAATAGTTCTTTATTAGATCTCCGCTCGTATTGGTCTTAGCGTGATTTTATATAGCCTATGGGCTTCTTCATAAATGAGCTATCTAACACTGTTTTTTTTTTGAAATAGGACCAGTAGTTCCTGAGATTAGCGCGCTTAACCAAAAAAAAAACCCTTCAGCTTTATATTAGTATAGATATTGTGGCGGGTAGCCATCATACAACGCAAGATATTTGACAGATACCTGAATCTAGCTTAAGACATTTTCAAGATAAGCTTGCATATATACAAGTTCCGAACAACAACATTTGGGACCGTCGGTCTACCGAGCAAATATCACCCGCTCGGTGGAAGATCTTTCCTCCGTCGTTTAAGCCTACCCAAAGATATAATAATTCAAAACACTCCCACCTACTCCATTGTGACAATACACTCCAGCGATTTGCTCCTGATTTAAAAAAAAAAGGATATTAGTGGCTGTGAATGCACACTTTACCAAAGAAAACGCATCAAATGCGTCCTATTCTCGCCTATTACAGTGGATATTAATATCAACTAGCATAAATTCTAATACTCGTAGTAAATTTGAATATGAACTAAAATTTCAAATGGCAATTTTGCTAATGGATCTGTGCAGTAAATTTCAAATTGAAAGGAAATATATAAGACTTCGCCATGCAGGATAAAGAACGCTAAAGCGGTTCCCAGGTGGTTGCAGAATTTCCGTGTGAGTAATGGCGGTTATAATATTAAGTACTAGCTCTGCCCACGACTCCGTCCGCGTGGAATAGCGACTTTGGGCAGCAGTTTTAGGACATATATTTTTTTCTTTTGGTTTATAAGCACCGTCATTTGGGTATTTAGAAAAATCTAATTTAAAGTAATGCTACTCTATACACGACATTAGACGTATAGCCATCGGGGATCAAAGCATACAGGTTGCTAGGATTGCTAACATGTGACAGAGCTACATAGCCGTGTGACCGAGTTGACTGTGTGAAAAGCAGTTAACACTTAGATCTACACCCACTACTTTTAGCATCTGACCTTGAGCTTTATTTATTATCATCACGAAACATGGGCTCACTGGAAACGCGATCGACAGTGAGACCTGTTTTTCGTTCTTCAAGTATCCCCTGAGACTCCGCATTTGCTGTCCAAACCCTCTGAGAAGCTCAAGCGGGATTCCCTATCGATGAAAGTCTCAGATTCACGCGATACTGCATAAGATTCACGATCGATGGACAAACGTGCGTCACGCTGTTCCCTGTTCACCCTAATCCGAGTAGCCATTATTTGAGAACGATGTGAACTCAATCGAGATTCTCGCTGAGCTGAAGTTTCTGTAATCTGTAACACGAAACCTCGCCTGACGTTCCTGAGATGATGTTAGATGACGTTAGTGAGTCTTGCCTCATGATTTTCTTCAGATTCCTGTGATCGAACTAATCTCATCCTTTTAGCATTCCTGCTGCACTGAGAGAGGTTGGATCTTTTTCGAGGCATTCTTACAATAAGTAGTACCTACTAACACAACGTTGTTTGGTAAACACATACTTATCATAAAACTAAATTATAAACTGTTTCTGAGATTAGCGTGTACAAACGCACAGACAAACAGACAAACATTCTAAAAATCATTATTTTGGGTTCTATTGCGTTCATAAAGCCCCCAATAACAGTTTTCCTGAGATATCTTCCATGTACAGACAGCGACCAGTTGCGATTTTATTATATGTATTAATTGATAATGATGATGATTAATTTCGTCTTGTTATCGGGTTTACTTTAAACGCTAAAAGAAACAATGTTCAATACTCGTAGATAGTGTTGTCAATTTATAAGTGTATTTATAAGCGTAAGTTTTTATCCCTACTTGTTGGTAGCCTAAGTGATTACTCCAAATACTTACGAACTGATAGTTGAACTCACGGGTCAATCCAATATGATTCCTAACTCTTTTTTCCCTACCTATTCGCTGGAACCTTTAGGGGCTCTATCTGAGAGAATTCATCAATACTAGCCCTATCTAGAGCTGTGCTTCGCAGAATCTAACACCAGAACAGAATTGCGACCCACTGAAAAGATCCAGCGACAAACTCCTTTGCCTATGGGTTAGTTCGCTCGTCAAACAACGCTCGTTAAAAAGCCTAAAAGCACCGAAAGTGGATCCGGGGAATCTGACAAGAAATGTTTCAGCTTTTGCCTTGCTCTACGTCTATTGAACATATAAAATATGCTTACTATCTGGCTGCATGAAAATTAAACAAATTTTGGAATAAAAGAAAGGGCAGTACAAAAAGGTTGATCCGATGTCATGATGTAAGGAGGAAACTGAGTACCTAGTTTGTGAAATAAAGACAACCAGCGTGTCCTTTTAAGCGTATAACAAAAAATTATAATAACATTCTAAAGCATTGAGAAATACTACCTCTACGAAGATCCGGTCATCGTTCTCGTCGAACCCGTCGCTTGCGACGAAGGGCTCGACGAGTAAATCAACCCTCAGACACAGCCCACTGAGTTTCTCGCCGGATCTTCTCAGTGGGTCGCGTTTCCGATCCGGTGGTAGATTGTGCAAAGCACGGCTCTTGCTAGGGTTCGTGTTAGCAACGTCGTCAGGTTTGAGCCCCGTGAGCTCACCTACTTACTAGTTAAGGTTCCGCTGATATAGCCTCTCAAGGCTACCAGCTTAGGTAGGAAAAAAAAAACCTCTACGAATACTAAATGAATACTATTTGAACTGAGCTAAAATTTCAATTCTGTAACACCCGTAGCCTAAAGTATTAAGATGTCTGGTGTATTTGTGATAATGCCGGATTTAAAATCTCTCAGATAGGATTAATTTTTTCTAAGGAATTAAATTCATGAAGTTATTGACGTTACTGGTCGTACACGACTTACTGTTATTTTCCATTGGTCGGGAAGTTTGTCCATTAATCTCATGCAAAGAAAAGCCCAAACATTTTGTTTACAGTAAATTTATTTATCTACAATTAACCTATTTCTAGTCTATCTGAATTTATAAAATTTGGTTACTCTTTGTGAGACTTCTTCTAAATAAAATAAAAACTTAAAGTGTTGTATTAACAATTAATCAAACTAAATGTTGTACAATTTTATCCTGTGTATAAATTTAATGATGCTTAGGAGAATTTGTTTTGGGCCCTCGGCTGGTGGTAACGGCTGGCTCCTTGATTCAGCTTGGCGCTGTATCGCGTCTCAACCCGGCAAGCTGGTTTCGATCCAGTGGGTATCCCGGGACACCAGTGGCACCGACTGGGCCGCCGTCTGATGGGCACCGTACCGAGACGGCTGACGTTCCAGAGCCATCGTTTTGCATAGAGCGCTCCGTCGGCCGGGTGAACCCTTTACCTCGGCCCGTCCTGACCTCGCGAGGATCGGACACTTGGGCGAGAGTGCAAGGGAATAGTTTAGTGGGTAGGGCCCTAAATATCATCCTTGCCCGCGGTGCGCTTCAAACATCTGCGGACCGTCCAGTCCCACGTCCCCCTGTGCTCCCTCCTAGCCTACCCTCTTAGCCCTTTAGGCTATCAGCGAGTAGGCAAGGGGGAAAAAGGTGCTCTACTTCGGCAGATTCGAGATATCATCGCTCGGGCTTAAACGAAGCACTTCCGTTGCCTTACTTAGGAAGAGTGAAAGACGTCACGGCACTGACATTATTGTTCATGCTGCGCGTGGTTATATTTTGCTTTCATAAACTATTCTACACGTATCTTCTACCAGTGTATCGACATAACAATAAAATTTTGTTGCACGAATACGCCCACTGCACGTCCACTATGTCAAAAGAAAATGAAGACGTCAGCCCTTCTGCGACATATAAATACTTAATTTCATTTTGTTAATAAAATAGTACACTTGAAGTAAAAACATGAAATGTGAATATAACTGAAATTTAACAGAATAATAATTGTAATAGAAAGTAAATGATGATCAGTTTTGCAATAATTTTCGCATTTATTTTGTTAATAAACAAATTGTGCCAATAAATATTATGTATTAAAATATTTCTCTTTAAATAATAACAACAAACCTATGAATTTAAATTTCAATTTCCGCATATATATTTTTTGAGATCATGTGATGTAACTATGCATATCACAGAATAACTTTTTAAGTAAAACCGACTAAAAACAGTTAAATAATCTAAAATCCATAATGCTACATAAAACGATAATTTCTCGAAAAAAGTATGTATGTATATGTTTATGGAATAATTCTTGAACCGCAGTCGACATTCTGAGGCCAATCGCATTCTTCTTTCGATGGATTGTAGAGGAGATTTGGAGGACAGCTGAGAACTACAGGCTTGTGGTTCCAGCATATGTAAAATTTATCACAATTTTCGTGGGCAATTAGAACACTGTCTGATCCAGTTTGAGCACACAATGTAGGAGCTGCACTGGGATCGCAGTTACCGCTGCTGTTGTCATTGCCTTCATTATCGTTTCCGTCCAAATTGCCATCGCTAGCGTCATTGTTGTCTTCATCCTCGTCGCTTTCTGGAATAGTTCTGTCTCCACACTCTACATTATGAGGCCAGTCACACTGCTCGTTACTAGGATTATACAACAGATTTGGCGGACAAATGAGGGCTACTGGACGACTATTGAAACATTTGTAAAATCTGGTGCAGTGCTCATGGGCGACCAAAACACCGTCTGAATCATTTTCAGCACAAATTTCAGTAGCCAGGCTGGGGTCAGCGTGTCCATTTCCAGTGTTTTCGTTTTCGTTTCCGTTTCCTCCATTACCATTGTCACTTTCACTATCAACATCCTCGTCGTCTTCTGGAATGGTTCTGTCTCCACACTCTACATTATGAGGCCAGTCGCACTGCTCGTTATTAGGATTATACAACAGATTTGGAGGACAAATGAGGGCTACTGGATGACTATCAAAACATTTGTAAAATCTGGTGCAGTGCTCATGGGCGACCAGAACACCGTCTGAATCTTTTTCAGCACATATTTCAGTAGCCAGGCTGGGGTCGGCGTGTCCATTTCCAGTGTTTTCGTTTTCGTTTCCGTTTCCTCCATTACCATTGTCACTTTCACTATCAATATCCTCGTCGTCTTCTGGAATGGTTCTGTCTCCACACTCTACATTGTGAGGCCAGTCACATTGCTCGTTGCTAGGATTGTACAATAGATTTGGCGGGCAAACGAGGGCTACTGGACGACTATTGAAACATTTGTAAAATCTGGTGCAGTGCTCATGGGCGACCAAAACACCGTCTGAATCATTTTCAGCACAAATTTCAGTAGCCAGGCTGGGGTCAGCGTGTCCATTTCCAGTGTTATCGTTTTCGTTTCCGTTTCCTCCATTGCCATTGTCACTTTCACTATCAATATCCTCGTCGTCTTCTGGAATGGTTCTGTCTCCACACTCTACATTATGAGGCCAGTCGCACTGCTCGTTATTAGGATTATACAACAGATTTGGAGGACAAATGAGGGCTACTGGATGACTATCGAAACATTTGTAAAATCTGGTGCAGTGCTCATGGGCGACCAGAACACCGTCTGAATCTTTTTCAGCACATATTTCAGTAGCCAGGCTGGGGTCGGCGTGTCCATTTCCAGTGTTATCGTTTTCGTTTCCGTTTCCTCCACTGCCATTGTCACTTTCACTATCAACATCATCGTCGTCTTCTGGAATGGTTCTGTCTCCACACTCTACATTATGAGGCCAGTCACATTGCTCGTTGCTAGGATTATACAATAGATTTGGAGGGCACTTAAGTGCTACAGGACGACCTTCTGCACATTTATAAAATCTTGTGCAATGTTCATGAGCAACTAGTATACCATCTGAACCTATACGAGCACAGATTTCAGTAGCTTTACCGGATTCGAAATTGACCCCTTTGGTAGCTTTGTTGGTGTTTTCTTTGATGACAGATGCATTTGACAATGCGACTGCGTATAATACTAATAGAATACCTGAAATAAATAGTATTAATTGATGTTAAAAATTGACTGTGAAAGAGTTACCGTAAAAACGTTGGCCTATCTCAGTTAAGAGATATCTTGTACTTTCAGAATGAATTATCCATTATTATTTATAATGAAATTAATTTAAGAAGCCAAAGGCTATTAAATAAAACTAACTTAAAATTTATCAATTACTACTTGATTTTATTACTACTTGATAAATTTTAAGTTAGTTTTATTTGTTTGTTAGTTTATTTATTAAATTAGAATGAATTCAACTTTAATAATATATCGATTTCAAAACCAACCTTTCAATTTTTCCATTACGAAGAAATGTCTTTTCCGAGTATATGACTCGAAAATAAAATCTTGAATGATTTTTTATTCTACTGGTGCCCTTATTATATGCGGTTTATTTAGATTATCAATTCGATAACTAAGACATTGACTTTATAAAGATTAGTCAGAATGTCCATTTTGATCATTGTTATCATAATAAATTACTACTACTCCATATCAGATAGAACATGAAAATATTGATGCTCAACGTTTATGGGAAAATTGAACATTTTACCAATGTGCTTGGTGCACTTTGATTTTAGCTTTTGGAACCAAGCGCAGTAACAGTTGACGATACAATAATTTTATTACTTTGACATCATTATTTTTAGTTCAGCTTGTTATTGAAGTGAGTTTTTTTTTAATTGCTTAGATGTGTGGACGAGCTCACAGCCCACCTGGTGTTAAGTGGTTAATGGAGCCCATAGACATCTACAACGTAAATGCGACACCCACCTTGAGATGTAAGTTCTAAGGCCTCAAGTATAGTTACAACGGCTGTCCCACCCTTCAAACCGAACCGCATTCCTGCTTCACAGCAGAAATAGGCACCTGGTACCTACCCGTGCGAACTCACAAGAGGTCCTACCGCCAGTAATTATGCAAATTATAATTTTGTTGCGGGTTTGATTTTTATTACACTATGCTATTCCTTCACCGTGGAAGTCAATTGTGAATAATTGTTGAGTACGTATTTCATTACAAAAATTGGTACCCGCCTGGGATTCGAACACCGGTGCATCACTCAACACGAATGCACCCGACGTCTTATCCTTTAGGCCACGACGACTTCGTTTTTTTCTTTGGTTTTCATACTACATTTATTTATTTATTACGTACGTACGTCATCAAAACTCGTACGTACGTCAAAACTTCTTCACGATTAACATAACGTAAAATCAGCAAATACCTATTTAGTGGTCATTTTGAACTATAAAGCTCCGATATCAGGGTGGCATTTTTGATGCGATGAAAAATGAAACTTCTTTGTTATTAAAACTCAACAGAAGCTGCAAAGTACACTTACTTATTTATGAAAGTGACCATCAATTAATTACGGAAATAAATTAAAACAACAAAAAACAATGAAAATCGGCCAAAATATCACATAATGATTATTATCAAAATCTTAAAACTTAACTCTTATGGGCTATGTTTTATTTGTGACATACTAATCATGTTATGATTTATAGGCTGAAATTATGAATCCAAGATTTACTCGTTTAATAAAATTATAATTAGTCTAATAACTAATTTCTTTTTTTAAACTAACCTTTAATACGCTATATTTTTAAGATAGTTTTATATATTAGATACTAGCTGACCCGGCAGACTTCGTACTTCCTCAATCGATAAATAAAATACCTAAACTTTTGTATAAAATAAACTTAAAACAAACAAAAGGAATCTGTCCGACGGGGGACACATCAATGGAAAAACAAAATTGTTATTTTTATTTAATTCCGAGCATTTTCATATTTATCTACCTTTTGAACCTTCTCTAGACTTCCACAAATAATTCAAGACCAAAATTAGCCAAATCGGTCCAGCGGCTCTCGAGTTTTAGCGTGACTAACGAACAGCAATTCGTTTTTATATATATAGATTTAGGATAAATTACCTTCTCTGGAAATTAGTGAAACTAGAATATCTTCTCCTCTTAAGTTCTAGTAGCATTTGTACAAACTTTCAACTAAATCGCATACGTGACGAGCGAACGTATTGAAATCGAACTAACGAAATATTCGTATTCATTATATGTACAGATTTAGATTAATAATAATTAGATTAATTCCATTCGTAGGTAGCTAAGGTTGTTCGCTTCGTAGTGTCTCAATCGATAAATAAAAGACCTAAACTTTTGTATAAAATAAACTTAAAACAATCAAAAGGAATCCGTATAGGTATAAGACAAGGTGTTACAACTTAATACCTAAATAGACCACAAAAGAATTAGCCAACCGTTCAAGTGGTCCGTCGACCGTTCAACATTTTTACTTATGGCAACTGTATAAAAACAAACTAAATTTGCATTGCCCCCCAGGATGGGTGACCCACTTGATTTAGTATTTTGCTTACACAGATCGTGCTCTACACAAAGGGTCTATCAATTCTCTCATCACACACCTCATTATTTTTCTATGAGTCATCGCCGCACGATAGCTATTTTTCTATCTCACCGTTCGTTTACGTGTTATCTATTTGTTTGGCCCGCCCTAGTTATTTTCACCTGTGGCAAGTAATAACATGTTTCCGATAATATTTTCGGGAGTGCGAACGTCGGCGATATTCTTTTGTTTTTGAATTTTTGTTTTCAACGAATGACTTCAGTTCTGACTAATGTTCTGTGGAACTTCGTGACTTATAAATTAATATTGAGTCAACAAAGAAAGCAGTTCGTATTAATACTGGGAAGTAATTATTTGTGATCTTGAAATAGATTAGTAATTGATTAGGTGTTTAATCTATATCGGAGTGCAGTTTAGATTGTATAGATAGCGTGCACTTTGAATTTGTTTTATGGTATGTTTATCTGTTAAGTTGTTTGTTCTTGGACTTGTGTTTTTTTGTTTATTTGAAGGTTTAATTAATCACCATTAATATTAATAAACAAAAAAATGTTTTTTTTTTTACTTTTTTGATACAATTTTCATTTCAAACATAAATGTGCAATGCAATGCTTTTTCAAATTTATTACTGTAAATCATTACTAATTTTAAAGATAATTTTAGGTCTAGTATATTTTTTTTTATTGCTTAGAAGGGTGGATGAGCTCACAGCCCACCTGGTGTTAAGTGTTTACTGGAGCCCATAGACATTTACAACGTAAATACGCCACCCACCTTGAGATGTAAGTTATAAGGTCTCAGTATAGTTACAACGGCTGCTCCACCCTTCAAACCCAAACGCATTATTGTTTCATGGCAGAAATAGGCAGGGTGGTGGTACCTACCCGTGCGGACTCACAATTCATTTAAAACTTTGCGTTCTTTTACATTTCATATCGATACTATAATAAATGAACAGATACTAATCCAGAAAGGAGGTATCAATGAAATTCAAATACCAAATTCCACAAGATACTACACATTAATAATAACCCTACACGTGTATTGTTACTCCCATTAAATCTTTTTTATAAGTTGTTGCTCTTTAATTAAATATTGTCTTATTTCTTTGAAATATAAGTATTAGCAGAAAATAGGTTTTAATGAAATTGAAATACCGAATTCCACAATTTAGTATAGTCATATATATAATATATTATAACCCTACACATTGTTATCTTGTTACTTTCAATAAACCTTTTATAGCATGTGTGTAAGAAGGTATAAATAATCTATATATATAAAAATGAATTGCTGTTCGTTAGTCTCGATAAAACTCGAGAACGGCTGGACCGATTTGGCTAACTTTGGTCTTAAATTATTTGTGGAAGTCCAGAGAAGGTTTAAAAGGTAGATAAATATGAAATAGCTTGGAATTAAATAAAAATAGCAATTTTGTTTTTCCTTTGATGTGTCCCCCGTCGGACGGATTCCTTTTGTTTGTTTTAAGTTTATTTTATACAAAAGCTTAGGTCTTTTATTTATCGATTGAGGCACTACGAAGTCTACCGGGTTAGCTAGTAGTTAATAAATACTCTTTAATGACATCTTCAGGTTTGAGCCCCGTGAGCTCACCTACTAATTCGGCGAATCTAGAACCCCTCGAGGTTATTAGATAGGAAAAAGAGTATTTAATTAAATATTGTTTTATTTCTATGAGATGTAAGTATTAGCGAATGAATTGATTCTTATCCGCATTGCGGTTTTCCGTAATTAGTACCTACGATAAAAAATATACCAGCATCGGATTATAAGGAAGAATTTTGCTATCCATATAAATTAACTAAATTAAAAAGAGCTAGAAATTTAATTTGGTGAAATTTTCATTATGTTATTATCCCGTAGGAATTTTAATTTATGTTTTTTTTTATCTAATAATCTTGAAGCTCTTGAATCTGGTGAGTTGCTGTCCACGTTATGGATATGAGCATTGCGATACAGTCATTGATTCAGTCAGTGTAAAGGTTTTGTGATATACTTAGCAACAAGGACTGAAGCTTGTTATCTAGTTCAAAACATGAATTGAAATTGGAACCAAAAAAATAATAATTAAAGAATACTCGTTTTTTATTTTATTTTTTTATTGCCCTTGTAGGCAGACGAGCATACGGCCCACCTGATGGTGAGTGGTTACCGTCGCCCATGGACTTCAGCAATGCCAGGGGCAAAGCCAAGCCGCTGCCGAGATGAATTATGAAATTACATGGGTACGGTTAGAGTGAAAGGGATGAATGAGGAAGAAAGGGACGGATGAGAGATGGTTAAGATTACTTAAGATGGCGATCGGGCATTAATAGTGTGAACATTTTACGTGTATTATCATATAAAATTTTGTTACTTTTCCAAAAAACTGTAATTTAATTTGAGCTAATCCTACATACAATTGACATAGTTTTATTGCTTCAACAACTCTTAAATGAAATGCTACATTTCAATTAACATCGATCAACACACGAGCATTCCTTATCCAAATCAAAAATACAAAATCTGTTCAAAAATCATTTCTAAAGCCTAGACACAAGTAGAGGAAAAACCGTTTCGATAGATTAGTGTAATTACTTGCAGATTTTTGAAAGCAGAAGATATTTAATGCAGCTGAAATTAATATTATTGTTCAATATAATCTTGAGTATGCCTGATACAACTGTTATTCCCGTTGGACCTTAAATGATAAGTAACGTTTTTAATGATTTATGGCAGTTGACCCAAACCGAGACTCATGACTGTTTCGTAGCAATAATTATAATATTTAGAACGGTGGCACCTACACGTGCCACTTCACGGTAAGGCTACAATCAGTAATTAATATATTTCGTTAGTGTGGTTTTTTTTCTTCATCGTGAAAGTCTTTCAAGATTTGGAGAAATTGGTACTCTCTTGCATGATTCGAACCAGAACACCGACTAAACCAATATGTGTACCAAACAC